TTCTTCAATTAGGTTGAGGTCAGCCCGACGGAGTTCTTCGGTTAGTGCTGGATCCGGATGTGAAACCCTGGGAGTAGGCAAACTGACTTCTACTGGGATAACCGCCTCAGCGCCGTATGTTAAGCGGAAAGGGGTCTCCCCAGTGGGCGTCCGAGCTGTAGTGCAATAAGCCCAGAGTACATTCGGTAGCTCCTCAGCCCAAAGTCCCTTAGCAGCTTCTAGCTTAGTTTTGATTATCTTCAGGAGAGAGCGGTTGGTGACCTCGACTTGGCCATTGGCCTGGGGATGACTACGGGATGAGAAACAAGGTTGAATCTGGAGGTCGGCCCAGAACTTCCTGTACTTGGCGTTGTCAAATTGTTTACCGTTGTCGGAGATGATGGCCTGAGGAATGCCGAATCTGCAAACGATCGACTGCCAGATGAACTTGGTTGTGTTCCGCTCGGTAATGGTGGTGAGGGGTTCTGCCTCTACCCACTTGGTGAAGTAATCAATGGCGACGATCGCGAACTTGGTCTAGCCTCGGCCAGTAGGGAGTGGTCCGACAAAGTCGATCCCCCATTTGGCGAACGGATAAGGGCTGCAGAGTGTGATCAACTTTGTAGGGGGTGCATGGGGGATGTTGGCAAAATGTTGACACTTATCACATTTGACAACGAAATCGGTCACATCTTGATTAAGGGTGGGCCAGAAATAACCGGTACGGAGTATCTTGTGGGCTAGAGACTTACCGCCCGAGTGATTGCCGCAGATGCCCTCATAAATTTCTTGCATCACATAAGTTGCTTGAGTCGGATTGAGGCACCGCAGATAGGGGCATGAGAAACCACATTTGTATAAGATGCCGTCGACGAGGATGTAATTGGACGATCGTGCCTTGACTTTGGCGGCGTGCTGGTGGTCATCCGGAAGTTCCCCCACTATCAGAAATCGAAGGATGTCCGACGCCCAAGGGATGGGCTCATTTTGGAGGAATTGTACTTCATGTTGGTCGGGGAAAATGGCGGGGTGGGATAGGTACTCGAGACGGACGCCACTGCTGAGGGCGGACTGGTCTGCGGAAGCCAGCTGGGCCATCTCATCTGCCTTAGAATTCTCTGCCGGGGGAATGTGCCTGATCTGGAAGGTGTTGAAAAGGTGAACCAGGGGAAGTGCAAGATCCCTGTAAGTCCGCATTGTGCCTTCCTTGGCGTCAAAATCGCCCGTGATCTGCCTGACGATGAGCTGAGAGTCGCTGAGCACTCGGATATGGCTGACACCAATGTCCCTGGCTAGGCGAAGGCCTGCTATCAGTGCCTCATATTCAGCCTCGTTGTTACTGGCCTCAAACAAGAAACGGAGAGCACATTTGAAATAACCACCCTCAAGGCTGGTAAGAATGAGGCCAGCCCCGCTACCTTGCCTACGGGATGATCCGTCGACGTTGAGGGTCCAAGAGTGAAGGTGTTTTGGCTCGATGGGAGCTGGCAGGGGTAGAGGGGCAGTGGTTGGGGTAGGATTAGTGAATTTCAAGATGAAGTCGGCGATAGCCTGTCCCTTAATTGCTGTTCGAGGGCGGTAAGAGATGTCAAACTGGCTGAGTTCCACAGACCACTGCATAAGTCTGCCGGAAAGTTCTGGTTGCTGCATGACTTTCTTCAAGGGTTGGTCGGTGAGGACCACTATGGAATGGGCTTGGAAGTAAGGACGGAGTCGTCTAGAGGCAGTGACCAAGGCTAAGGATAATTTTTCTAACAAGGGGTAATTCTGTTCTGCTCTCCTGAGAGCCCGACTGATGTAGTAGACCGGTCGTTGGACAGAGTCGTCTTCCCTAATAAGAGTTGCACTGACTGCGATGCTTGAGACGGCCAAATAGAGGAAGAGGGACTCGCCCGTGATCGCTTGTGAAAGGAGGGGTGGATTGGCCATGCACTGCTTTAACTGCTGGAAAGCCTCTTCAGATTCAGTTGTCCATTCAAAAGTTTGCCGAAGAACTTTGAAGAACGGTAGGCACTTATCTGTCGCGCGAGAAATGAAACGGTTGAGGGCTGCAACTCGTCCAGTTTGGACCTCCTTGACCGTCCTGGGAGACTGCATCTCAATCAAGGCCTTGATCTTTTCAGGGTTAGCTTCAATGCCCCGCTGATTGACCATAAAACCCAGGAACTTCCTGGATCCTACGCCGAAGGCGCATTTCTCTGGGTTGAGCTTCATTTGGTACTTGCGTAGCGTGGCGAAGGTCTCCCGCAGGTCGGTCAGGTGATCAGTGGAGAGTTTGCTCTTAACTAGCATGTCGTCAACGTATACTTCTATATTCCGACCTATTTGGTGATGGAAGACGGCATTAACCAACCGTTGGTAGGTGGCCCCAATGTTCTTTAATCCGAATGGCATTACTTGGTAATGGTAGGTACCTCGGTCGGTGATGAAGGATGTATGTTCCCGATCGGACGGGTGCATGAGAATTTGGTTGTAGCCGGAGAAAGCATCCATGAAGCTGAGCATTTGATGACCGGCCATGGCATCGACTAGTAGATCTATGCGGGGCAGAGGATAGCTGTCTTTGGGGCAAGCTTGGTTCAGGTCAGCGTAATCGACACAAAGTCGCCATTTGCCATTGTTCTTGCGGACGAGGACCACGTTTGACAGCCATTTAGGGTAGTCGACATTTTTGATGAATTGGGCCTCAAGGAGTTTGTCGACCTCTGCGGCTATAAGAGTATTGCGCTCCGAGTAAAAGATGCGCTGCTTTTGGCGGTACGATCGAAAATGAGGTTCAACGCTGAGGCGATGAGTTATAAAAGAAGGGTCGATGCCTGGCATATCTGAATGAGTCCAGGAGAATACATCATTGTGCTCGGTCAGAAGTGCAGTAAGGTCGGCCTTGGCTTGGGGGGATAGCTGGCTGCCGATCTTAGCAGTTTTCATTGGGTTGGTGGGATCGATTGGAATCTCAACGAGCTCCTCCACCGGTTCGCCTTGGACCAGTTCATCCTCATCGCGGGCGTCAAGTCCTTCAATGATCATGGCCTCCTTCAACTTGACTTCCTTGAGTGAGGCGACATAACATTCCCTGGCGATGGTCTGCTCTCCCCGTACCGTCCCGACCCCCTGGTCGGTGGGAAACTTTATGGCGAGGTGATAGGTTGAAGTGATAGCTTGGAAAGCGTTGAGGGCGGTACGACCGAGGATGATATTGTAGGCAGAGGGACAGTCGACCACAAGGAAGGTGAGTAACTTGGTAGTCTGCCGTGGGTATTCGCCAATAGTGATGGGGAGGTCAACGGAGCCGATGGAGGTCACCCCGTCGCCAGTGAAACCGACCAAGGGGGTTTGGAGAGGGGACAGGCTTTCTTCCCCAATTTTGAGCAGGCGGAAGCAACTAAAGAATATGATGTCAGACGAACTACCGTTGTCGATGAGAACCCGCCTGACCTTATAGTTGGAGATAAGGGTAGAAATGACGAGGGGGTCATCATGAGGATAACGGATTCCTGTACAATCGACGTCCATGAAGGTGATGGGCTCTGTCCACTTCTTGGGCTGCTTGGAAGGTCGGTCTACCGTGTCCACTGCTTTGTCCGAACCTTGCCTTATTTTCCTGAGCTCTGCTTTCTGAGTGGAGCGGGACGGTCCGCCACAAGTAAGGCCACCAGAAATGACTCGGATTTCACCAACTGGGGGAGGGGGGTTACCTGGGGGTCGAGGCTGTTGTGGGAGGCGGTCATGGCCTTGGGCAGGTTGGGTTGGCTGTCAAGGTGGGGTACGTCGGCGGTTGCTTCTGAGGGGCTCTGTTCGTTGCCTCTGTTGCGGGCGGGTGTCTGTGAATCGGCTGAGACGCCCTTGACGAATGAGGGTCTCGACCTGATCCTTGAGGTTGATGCAATCATCAGTGTTGTGGCCGTGGTCCTGGTGGAAGCAACAGTATTTGGACTGGTCTTTCCGGTTGGAAGGGGTCTGTGAAGGCAGGGGCCATTTGAGGGGGTAATCTCGCTGGATTTGGTGGAGGACTTGTTCTATAGGAGAATTGAGGGGTGTGTACCGCTCAAACCGACCGGGGGGTCGTACTGGTGCTGACCGGTCAGTGCGAGGAGGTCGGTCGGGATATTGGGGCGTTTGGCTGTTATACTGGGTGTTTCTTGGTTCTGGGTCTTTTCTCTTTTCTCTGGGGGGTGGGTTTTTGGATATTGGATCTTGGCGAGCGGCCAGTGAATCTTCGACATTCATATATTTCTGAGCTATGGATAATAGGGCTGCCATAGAGGTCGGGAGGTTTTTGGAGAGGGAGAAAAGGAAATCGGACGATCGCAGCCCGGCCATGAAAGCCGTAAGGATGACCTTATCGTCATTCTCCGCTACTTGTAGGGCTTCGGTGTTGAAGCGGGTAACGAAGCTACGTAGTGACTCCCCCTCGGTCTGACGGATGTTGAGGAGTTGGGTTGCAGGACGACGTTGGCGTTGGGCTCCAATGAAATGGCTGAGGAAGGAGTCGCTGAGATACTGGAAAGTGGAGACAGAGTCCGCCGGTAACTGACCGAACCACAGTCGGGCTGACCCCTTCAGTGTCACGGGGAAAGCCCCACACATGATCTCGTCGGGGAAGGCATGAAGAATCATGAGTGTACGATAGGTCTCCAGATGGTCGACTGGATCTGTCGTACCATCAAAGGAGTCAATGGTGGGCATCTTGAATTTGGCGGGCAAAGGTTTGTCCCGAATGGAGGCAACAAATGGTGAATTTGCCGTGGTAGAGGGTTTATTCTGAATGTTCTGGATGACTCCTTGGAGTTGGAGCTTCATTGCTCGGAGCTCGGCGTCCCAGAGGAAAAGCAGAAAATTGTTCCATATAAAGAAGAGTCAACTTCTTTCTAAATACTAAAGAAAAGTTATGATTGTACAAAAGGCTTCAAGAGAATAATAAATTTTAAAAAAAATTATGGGAAGCAAATTTCTGGCAGCTATAGTTTGCTTTATGATCTCATGTTGCCCCAAAACAAAGAGCATATAATATATTTATCACAACCTCCATTTTTAAGGACAGTGCACTGACATCTAATGTTAATAACCCAATGAATTTCACCAACTGTTACTTTGATGGTCATTTTCATGGTTAAAGTTTCAGATCCCAACAATCAAGGTCCAAAGAACAAACATTAAACAATTCACGCTGAAGGTCATTCAGTGTACTCAGTAAATAACTGCAGAAACTGACTTGCCTGTCTGCAATCCCTGTAGAATAGTTCCACGTGTCATACCAACGCCCCATCCACCATCCTGTCCAGGCTGCTCCACAGCAACTGATACTGCAACTGCATCCCCTTTCTCAACGTGAGCACTGCAAGCCAATACACCAGGAACATATACCTACACATGAACTATCATAAGCAAACAGAAGAAAGAGTACCAAGTCGTCACAATTTGTCAGGTTCATGGGGGGAGGGGGTTGTTGATGTTCATGTTGAGAATACACAATATTGTTTTATTGCCAAAAGACAAAATTAAGTACCGCAATCCCTACAAACCTAAGAAATATATACATAAACTTATAGAAGAAAGAAACAAAGGAAATAATAAATAATTACAGGTAATACTAGTGGTAAAATATGAAACTGAATGACTTTCTCTTCTATAAAAGTGAGCTGCATAAAATAATCATATCACTTTACACTAAAACCTCAACTTCTTTCCTAGACAATAGTTTTGAATTTTTTTGTTGAACACTGGCCTTGCCTACTATAAATCCTTTTGAATGAGAAAGAAATATTATATTCAATGAAACACGCAAAGTAGGCATGGAATCTAAGAGAAAAAATATATATATATATATATACATATAAAGGGGGGGGAAATAAGTTAATAATAACTGAGGGTAGAAAATTAAGGTAGAATAGTCCACTAGCCCACATACTTCTAGCAAATGGAGTACAAGATTAAAAGATTGAAGACTATAAATATTAAAAATAAAGAACATCATCGAAAAAAGGAAAATGCTAGGATGTTTATAACACAAATTGGAACATTCAGAAGTACTTGACAAAGAGACTTGAAGTAACAAATATAGTTGATATGTAGGCACTACTAGACACTTCTTACCTGAGCACCGCGAAGCACAGCCTCAGCGCATTTACGGCTAACAATTATCTCCTTTGGAGGTTTGTCTTGTGCATGAGCATAACTGATATTGTGTGGTCCTAAACCTTTGACAAACAAAACATAGTCTAGCCCAGGTAATTGACATCTTGAAACAAGACCAGTTTGTGTACTTTCAGAGACAGCCAAAGCTGGTGTGGAGGGATATTTTAAGGGTTGCTATTAAGTGCCCAGAGTTGCTGGAGGTATTTAAGGCCAACTTTAAGGTTAATATTGGGGATGGAAGGCTCATAAGTTTTTGGCTGGATCAATGGGTTGGTAGTGATTGTTTAAAGAATTTATTTCCTAGATTATTCTCTATGTCTATGCATAAAGGTATATCAGTGGCAGTGATTAAGAGTAGGAGTAATGGAAATGAGGAGTGGGATTTGTCTTTCAGAAGAGCATTGTTCCAATGGGAACTTGAAGATGTGAGGAGGATGAAGGAGTTGCTCCAAACTGCTCCAGAGCTCAGAAATTGTGTGTTGGATGGATTGTCTTGGGCTGCAGACAGGTCTGGTACTTTTACTGTTTCGTCTGCCTACAAGTGGAATGAGTCACCATCTACTATGCCTGCAAAAGTGGTGGATCTCATCTGGAAGAATGCTGCACCTCCGAAAGTGCAATTTTTTGCTTGGCTAGCATGGAAAGGGAGGATCAAGACTTCTACATATCTGCAAAGTATTGGAATCCTAAGTCCCAACTCTGATGTTAATTGTGTATTCTGCAGAAAGGAAAGGGAAACTGTATCCCATGTGCTGCTGTGTTGTTCATTTAGTTGGAGAGTTTGGTCTAATATTATTGGATGGTGGGGCGTATCTTGGGTACAGCCGGGGTCAGTGGTGGGTCTTATTCAATGGTGGACTGCGTTTAGATGCCAAAACAGATTGAAGGTAATCTGGAAGATAATCCCATTGGCAGTGCTTTGGTCGTTATGGAAGCAACGGAATGAAATCATCTTTAACGAGTCACAGTTGGTTTTTGGAAAGTTGTGTGATCTTATCAAAACACGGGTTGCAATGTGGTTCAGAGCCTTTAGTCCTTCCTTTTGTTATTCAGTTGATGATCTGGTGTATAAGTTGCAAAATGTGAAATTCTGCCTCATGCACTGAGGGTTTAACCTGTGTACTGCTGTTTCTGGGTGATTCTGCTCTGGTGCAACTGATGCAGAGGATGCTCTGATGCAGAGGGTGATTCTGCTGTAGGGCCGTTGTAGTGCCTATTATGTTTTGCTGAAATGTTCATGATTGGGTGCTGGTGTATCTGGCTTGTCTGATCTGAACTGCAGCTGTGTTGGGTTAAAATTTTGGTGGGTGGTTTGGCTGAAGGGCTGCTGTTGTGTTGGTTTTTGATTTTGGTGGGCTGCTGCTGAAGGACTGCTGGTGTATCTGATCTAATCTGCTACAGTGTTGGTTTAAATTTTTTTTGTGGGTAGTTTGGGCCGTTGTAATTCATGGCAATGTTGCCCAAGGCAAATCTGATCTATCTGTTCTGTCTTGGTGCCTAACAAACTGTAGGGCCTGATCTGATTGGTGCTTCAAATGAGTGCTGTGTTGTCTGCTCTGGTTTTGGTGCTATAGTGCCTTTCCTATCTGGTTTTCCTTGTTTTCTTTTTCCTCTGTTTTGTTGGCTCGTTGGTTTCTCACCAACTTGGAGGTTGGAGCTTGTTTTTAGCTCCAAGCTCCTCTTTATTGATATAATTTTTCTTTTTCCATCAATAAAGTCTTTTTTTTGCCGATCAAAAAAAAAAAAAAAATGAATTTAACGCCAAAACGATATCGTTTTGGAACGCCGCAGGAAGTGCCGTAGGAAACTGCGACCGGGGATCCGGACTCGGGTCTCTTCGAGTATCAAAGAAGAAATCTTTCTAAGGACTCTACTTCAATATTTTTCAATTTATTTTATTTTATTTACTTTTTAAGGGGATAGGATCTAGGGGTGGGTGTGAAGATAATTCCAATCTATCTATCTATTATATAAGGGAAAATGTCTTTTTAATGAGAATGCATATGACACCTTCAAAGTCCCATCCCAAAATTGTTGATTTTTTAATTTACAAGATAGATTAGAAAAAAAGTCTATCAGCCAATCTATTTAATTAATTATTTAAAAGTAGTTACTCTTTAATTTATAGATTTCAAAACGAATGACTTTTAAAAAGGAAACAAAGTAGTGAGTATTGATCTTTCCACTGTTTCTGATCAAACATGAGTCTTTAAAGAGTGAATCTGACAACATTGAGAAGTCTATAAAATTATGATTTGCTACTGACCATCATAGTTCTTGAAAACCAAATCAGCGCAACATGTTGGTCTCTCCTTTTATTTATTTTTAATTAAGTAAAAGAAGTATATAATGGTAGTTATCTTCTTGTTCGCTAGCCAATTTCATTTCATCCTGGGTCTCTCGAGCAAGGATCCTCTGTCGTCCTTTCCTGCGGCCGTCCCTATCGCCCTCACCAAAACGAGATCGTTTTGGCCAAAACGACGTGTTTTGGTTAGTTTTTTTTTTTTAAAAAAAAAAATCCCAAAATTTAAGTTTCATCTTCCTCTTCCTCTGATATGTTCTATTTAGCCCTAACATATCAACAGGTACACACAGAGAGAGAGAGAGAGAGAGTATAGACATCCATCCTGCAAAATGAAGAGATCAAAACACAAGTGAATTAGTCATAGATCGATTTATGCTATGTTTGGGTTAATTAATTTTTTCATTTCCTTCTCTGTTTCATGCACAAACCCCTCTAAAAAAAATTATTTAAACATTATTAGGAGATTTGGAACAACTTTTAAGTAAAAAATTAATATATTGAGTTCTTGTATGGTTCCCTTTTCGCTGGTGTACTGCTACTGAATTTAAAGAGTGGGATTGAGAGCAAATGTAAGCTCAATGATAGTATCATCTGTAAACCTAGTTAAAACAAAAATTAAGTTCATATATATCTATATAATAAGGCAAGAAGCTTTTTGAAAATGTCTTAAATTGTATGTGAGATACATTTTAATCCAATGATCTAAATTGTCTCATCTCAACTTCAGTGGTTGAGATGTCTTTGTTTCTCTCTCTTTCTCTCCATCAATGGTTGATGAGGAAGGGGCTTTATTTCCCTCTTTGAGCATCAACGGCTTTATTTCCCTCTAATGGTCAGAAAATCTCTCTCTCTCCTCTCCATCACAAGTACTCATCTCCTCTCTCTCTCTCTCTCATTTCAATTTTTAAACTCTCTCTCTCTCTACCTGCATCGGAGCCCATCTCGTGCGACACCGACGACCACCGACCAGCTCTTCTCTGTGTGTTATCCTCTCTCGACGACACCACCGACCACCTCCTCTCCTCTCATCCTCCTCTTTCGTCTCTCTCCCCTTGCAAGGTAAACTGAGTAGAAGCAGTAGTAGCATTCAAGGCTCTCCAGGTCCAGGATGCACAAGAAAGATATTTGTTGGAGGTTTAGCTTCCACAGTCACAGAGGCTGACTTTAAGAAGTATTTTGAGCCGTTTGGGACCATCACCGATGTCGTGGTGATGTTTGATTACAACACTCAGAGACCAAGAGGCTTTGGATTCATCACCTATGATTCAGAGGATGCGGTGGACAAAGTGTTGCTGAAAACGTTCCATGAGCTGAATGGTAAAATGGTTGAGGTCAAGCGTGCAGTCCCCAAAGAGTTGTCACCAGGTCCTAGCCGAACTCCACTTGGTGGATATAACTATGGTGTGACTAGGATCAATAACTTTCTCAATGATTACGCTCAAGGCTACTCTCCAAGTACAGTTGGAGGGTATGGTCTTAGAATGGATGGTAGATCATTCAGTCCAATCACTGGTGGTCAAAGTGGGTATGCTCCATTTGGTTCTGGTTATGGAATGGGTTTGAACTTTGAACCAGGACTGAACCCAAATTTTGGGGGAAATGCAAATTTGAATAATACTCTCAGCTATGGACGGGTATGATGGAGGAGGGAATGGAGGAAACAGTTCCTTTTTTAGCTCAAGGACTGGGAATTTGTGGGGGAATGGAGGGCTCAATTATGGAACAAACTCAACAAGTCCGAGTGCCTATGTGGGGTCTGGAAGTGGAAGCATTGGGGGCACCTTTACCAACAGTGGAGTTAATTGGGGGTCTTCTCCAATTTCACCTCAAGGTGGGGGTAATGTATTTTTTGCTTGAATTTGAATTTTTAATTTGCTGTTCCGATTTTGAATCTGACTTTGAATCTGACTTTCCACGGGCATAAACTGAATCTGACTTTGCAAATCATAATTTCAGATGTAGCAGTAATTCCTTTTCAAGTCACCACCATTTTTATCCAAATTTCATCTAGAGTGACTTTGAATCTGAATCAGACTCTTTTTAATCCCAACCCTTTTTATTCACATCTTTTTATCTGAATCTGAATCTGACTTTCCACAGGCATAATTTCAGATTTTGCCTAAACTAGATGGAATAAATGTTTTCTTTCTCCTCTGTTAGGCAATATGCTACTGCTGAAGGAGGGCAAGATCTGTATATGAGAGTTTCGGCTTCTGATTTAGGTATGTTCAATTTGAATTGTTTCCATTGTTTGGACTTATAAAATTAAAGGGTAAATATATTTTCATTCCTGTAACTTAATTTTTAGTTTGATTCCAATTGTTTTAATTTCAACAATATTAACCTCTGGGTCTATCTGGGTTTAGAATTTGAGTTAGTTTATACCCAAATCTTGCACATACCCAAATCTTTTTTTTTTTTAGAACAAAACACAGCAACACAAATATATTAAGCTAAACAGAGTGGCTTACAGCAGTTACAAGAAGGTGAGCATCTTGAACTACATCTCGCTCCTATACTAAGATGAACAATAAGAAGGCAAATATCCCAATTTGATTTAAAGAAATTCTTTAGCCACAACTGCAGATAATGTTGGTGCAGCAATATGTGCTCAAGGTGTTGAGAAGTGAATTAGTAGACATGACAAATGATGCATGGCAAGAGCATCATGTAAAATGCTTTCACTATTTGATGACAAGAAACTGATTTTGATGTTGTGATCTGAGAAATTCTACAAAACCAAGTCTTTGAAATACCAAATCTTGGATTTTTGTAAGAAGGGACTATATACCTAAATGGAAAAAAATAGGAATAAGCACTTAGTTAAGTTAAAGTCTTGACAGTAAACCTATCATCTATTTTTCATGTTCTGAGTAAAATGGAATGTACTAACCTATCTACGACACATTGTTGTTTTGTAATGTTTATTATGCCTGTGTATT